AGAGATTTGTTGGGAAGGTTTCGGGGATATGTCAGGAGGATTTAGGGGTTGAGGACACATGGTCTGGGACTATGGTAGGATGAGTTTAGAAGGCCATATCAGGAGGAATTTGGGGCTGTCAGAAGGGGCTGGACCAGGGGGCCTATACCTCACCCTTACTCACCCCCAAGAGGTCATCATCAACTAGGAGAAGCCCCTCAAATCCTCCTGTGTGGTCCAGGACCACGGTGGATGGACCAAGCCGTCCTTCAGCTTGTCCTGAAGAGGAGAGGTATAGAGTTAGGCAGGGCAAATGGTATAAGAGATACATAGGGTGCACTGAGCTCACCAGAGAAGCCTCTAGGGCCCAGCTCTGCACCCCCCAGCCCCACTCCAGAGGATGCCACATACCCTGGCTTTCCTCATCCTCATTGTCCACCTGTAGCAGCTGGTCCAGATGCTCTGGCAGGTTCTGGAAGTTCAGGGGTTTCCTGGGGAAAGTGAGAGGCTGCCAGGGGCCCACAAGTCCTTGAAATCATCAGAGAACACTAAACCCTCTGCCTCATCCTAGACCCTGGTATGCTTCTGACTCAGAAGCTGGATTAGCCACCAAACTAAAAACTACAACCAGTCCTACAATTGGTACATGCACCTTGGGACTGTTATAAAAGAACAGCCTTTTCTAAACTTTAATACTTCCACCTACAAAAAGGGAACAACAGCTGTATGTCAGAGATGCTATGATGAGTCCAAGGAATAATGCATGCTTCCTGCATGTTCCATAACCTACCCACTCTTGAAGGTGGCTGTGTTGATTATGGCTGGGAAAAGAAGTCTAGGAGAAATACCAGTCCCCAAGATGTCCAGTACCAAGGCCACTTAATCCAGCCCTTGTTCTAGGCCTGTGGTTCCTTTCATGACAGACTTCCAGTCTTCCTATACACAGTTAGAGAAGACTCTGTTGAATTTAGTCTGGCAAATGAAAGGCTCAACTCTCTGAGGTGCTGGTTGGCATCCTATACCTACCTGTCCACAGATGGCCAGCACATGGTCCACCTGCCTGCCACATGCCATAGCTAAAGGGTCTGGAAAAATCTGTCTGGGTGGCCACTTCATCTTCTTAGCACACATGCCCAGAGTAGAAAGGGCACTTTCTAATGCTGGCCAGCTCTGTCCTTAGCTCAACTACTAAGAATAGCAGGCAGTAGAGTGGGAGCAACCAGTAGGACTTGGCAGAGCATAGGCCCAATGCCCATCTGAATCCAGCCTACAGAATGCCAGTACCTGCTCTTCCACTTTTAATCCCAGTACTTACCCTACTCATCTACCACACAGTAGAATCTGGAAGGGGACACAGATGGATCAAAGCACCAACTCCCACAAGATAACTATGACCCAGGCTCAAGAACCACATATCTCCTTGCTATAAGCCACTAATGACCCTGAGCTGCAGGAGACCAAGATGCACAAAGGCCCCACCCCTGCTGAGCCCTAGGTAAAGATCAGGGGCAGCTATACAATGGGCTGTCCAGCCAATATGGAAGGCTGAAGCCGACCCCAGGGCATTGTCTGAATGTCATAATAGGCCCAAGGGTAATGCAGGCTTCCTAAAAAGCAGTTCTTGCAGGCCTAAATTTGGGAGGGCTGCACTTATGCCTGCCCCCAAGAGCAGACTGCACACTGCTGTGGGCAAGTAGCCTGAGAGAGCCTACACTGAGTGCCTGCAGCACTGACATTTAGCCAACACCAGCACTTGTATGCACTTTCTGAATTTCCTATGTCTCAGCCCAGGGGCCTACATTTCCATAACTACTGACCGATGGCCCTACCACCTGCTCTCCCTCCTGGCAGCCACAGCACCACCAAGAGCAGGACCATCTCTGGTATCACATGAGGTAGGGATCAGATGGCCCTGAGAATAGGCCAGGCCTGGGGTTGGGGAAAGGGTGGCTAGAATCCCTCCACAAGTAGGAATCTTTTGACCACCATAGTCACTCAAATAGAACAGGCAATGGTGCTGCCTTTTGGGCCTAGCCCAAGAGCACAGATCATGAAGGATAGAAGAGTCAAGACTGGTAAGGGACACAGAGGCAGGGACACCCACACCTCACTGAAGGGAGGAAGAATCTACATGATCCTATAAAAAAATCTGTCAACAGCCAGGCACAGTGGTACACATCTGTAATCCCAGCGCTTGAGAGGCCGAGGCAGGAGAGAGATGGAGGCAGGAATGAGGCGGAGGCAGAAGGATCACAAGCCAACCTCAGCAAAAGCAACTCAGTGAGACTCTGTCTCTAAATAAAATACAAAATAGGGCTGGGAATGTAGCTCAATGGTCAAGTACCCTTGATTTTAATCTCCAGTGATCGAATGCCCCTGATTTCAATCCCCAGTATCCCCTCACAAAAAAAGAATTTGTCAACAGTCTTTAAAGTATTTGCAGTTGGGCTGGGGGTGTGGCTGAAGCGGTAGCACGCTCGCCTGGCAGGCATGCGGCCCTGGGTTCGATCCTCAGCACCACGTACAAATAAAGATGTTGTGTCCGCCGAAAACTAAAAAATAAATATTAAAAAATTCTCTCTCTCTCTCTCTCTCTTAAAAAAAAAAAAGTATTTGCAGTTCAAATATGTTAGCCGACAAGACTGCAATCCTGGATATACTCACAGAATTGCTTGTAAAAGCAAAAGTTCCTCCAAATGAGGGCAGTAATATGGGCCATGGCAAAACCTTGGTCCTAAAAGATGGCCACCAAGATCCATTTATAATGTGGAAAAATACTCATGGGATAATGTCTGATGATGAAAATAGGATTCAAACTTCTACAAACTTTTGGAAGTGAGGGACATGTTCATTACCTTGATGTTAGAGATGGTTTCATAGGTTACATACATGTTAAAACTTAACAAGTTGTGTACTTTAAATACAGGCAGTTTATTCTTTGCCAATTAAAGCTCCAAAATGTTGAAGAGGGGCACTGAAGGTGACAACATTTTTTAGAAGTTTTATATAGAGCATAATCTGAACTATATACATTGTGAGATGAAGTAAACAGAAAGGAATCACATCCAAATTGTCACACTGTAATAACAAAGTGACAGATGACTTTGCTTCTCTCTTAAAGTTTCTGCTAAAGTATATTTTTAACTTTTACATAGACTAAACTTAAATTGTATTACATTTGCAAATAAAAGGGCCCAGTGGGGTTTGTACTTTACAAACTTAGGCAGAGGCAACAAGGGGCCAGGGTGGGGCAGAGGTGCAGGCAGGTACACATAGGGCCAGATTCTGAACGTGGAAGAGGACCAGGTGCTATGTTAGCACTGCACCAGCACCCCTCCCTGACCTCCACAACATCCTCAGAAGGAAGGAACTAGCACCACCTGGAAGGAGGAAGAAGTAGAGACCAGAAGGTAGACTCTCTGGCCACAGGTCTCTGAGCCAGGAGCTGAGTGAGATCAGAACCCAAGCCACACTGCCCAGAGGACAGGATGCCCTTCTGCACAACTCCAGCCTCCAGCCTTGGGTCAGGCCCATCAGAGTGAGGAGGGGCTACCCCCCCAGCCATACCTGCTGGTGGCTGCGGGGGGTACATGGTCAGGAGAGGAAAAGATGCGGTGTAGGTAGTCATTCAGCAGCTTCTCGTGCACAATGCCTGAGTCACAGGTCAGAAGGGAAAAAAGGGGCACATGGTCAGCACAGCTCCTGGCTCCTGCTGACCCCAGAGACTGTTGGTCCTTGGCCAGTCAAAGGGGTCAAAAGAACAGCCATGTTGGATGCACTACCCTCAATTGCTAATGGAGAAGAACTGGCTCACAGGACAAGAGATGCTGAAAGGCCTGAGGCTCATTGGACCCCAGACTTTGCTGCATTTGTCCCTACCTTCTCTTTCCCCCAATGCAAGGAGCATCCTCCCTGCCCTGCCAGCCCTTACCTGTGACCCTGGATTTCTCAGCATCTGAGGTCAGCCTATAGCTCTTGCGGGAGAAAGACATGCCGGCCCCCTTGGACGCCATCCTTCATCTCTCATGGGCAGCTAGTGGTCCTGGAGGCTGAGCCAAATGCAAAGCCTGTCTACTCAAGGCCAGCTAAGGGCTTTCACACCTGACCTCGGTCCTGCAATGGTAGGAAGGCTTGGGAGCAGGTGAGGCCAGAAGCATGCACACTCACACACATACCAACCTAGGGCAGAGAAAGCAAGGGCTCCCAGCTTCCTATGCAGGGAAGGTAGGTAGGGTCTGGGTCCAATGTTCCACACTGTGTCTCAGTGCCTAGCATAGGGCCTAGCAGAGAGCAGGTGTCAGATATATGTTTGCTGAATCATAACTAGATGACTTAGCTCTTGAAAATCAGACCAAAATGTCCAAAGTGAGGTGGCCCAGCGCCAAAGTCCCTGTATCTACTTCAGTTGTAATCTACACTGGGTCTAGCTCATATCCAGAAGAGGTATATAGCACCTTCCCCCAAATACAGGAAACTACTAGTCTAGCCATGTTCAGCCACAAGTCCTACTTATTCTTCCAAGGATGAGACTTCTCTCAGCTCAGGTTGCTCCCTTCTCTTGTCCACAATCCTGCTAGGCTTCTTGTTTCCATTCACACACGCACCACCCACCCCATCTAAGCACCACTCTTGCCCAGCCCTCATTTTAGACTCCACTGGTCTTCTTACAAAGCACACTGTTGCTGTTTCTGCTCGAGAAGCTGCACTATATCCCTAGTGCTGTCCAACACAGTAGCCAGCAGCCACGTGTGGTTATTTAAATTTGAATTAAAGTCTGAAAAGTTTAGACTAAATTTCTTAGTAACATTAGCCACATTTCAGAAGTCCAATGACCCCAGGTGGCTGTGCTATACTGTTCAACACAGAGATAGTAAATCTCCATTATTACAGTTCTACTAGTCTCTTTCTAGAACTCGGCCCTTCAGTACTGCCTTAGTTAGCACTTTTTCCTGCAACCCACTCTTATCTCACCCCAAACAGGTCCTGTGCTCCCACCACTAACTCCTGCCATCTGCTCTACATCTGCCTAGGTAAGATGATTCTCTTGCCCTGCCACCCACTGGGGGATCTCAGTGGGCGTCCATATCCAGTGCCCCTTCACATCTAAGCAGTTCTAAGACTGATAAGACGCGGTCATTCAAACCTTCTGGAAGTTAACCTTCCAGAAGATCATTCTGGGTCTCAGGTGTTGAGGTTTCAAATGAAAGGCGGCCCCTGCCCCTGCTTGGGCGGGGGGCATCCCTGACACTGTGATCCTGCCCAGTTCTGTCCAGGGATCCAGGCATGGAAACAAACCGACTCTGTCTCAGAGTCCAAGGACGCCAAGGGCAACTCATGGCTCCCCCAAGTCGCCCCCATCTGGCCTCAAGCTCCAAAGGACCCTAGGCCAGCTCCCGCTCTGAGTCCCACACCACAAGTCGCGACACTCCTCCCCCGAGGCGGGAGCTGTCGCTCTGCACTGGCCAAGGGCTCGAGGGGAGCGTCAGGGACCCGTTCCGCTCAGAGCCCGTCGGCCCCTCACTCACCCCCAGCCTCGGCGGCCGCGACCGGCTCACAACATCCGCCTAGCCTCTCGGCTACGGAGTCCGTCCAGGGCCAAACCATGCGCCCTCTCACGCGCAGCGCCTTCAGCCGTGCACGCGCACGCGCACGCATAGACGCACTGGCCTCGCTAGGCCACTGTCAGGGAAATCCCTCTGCCAACCGCAGGACTGTTCTCAACCTGTTTCAACCCCCACACCCCCTGCCTTGGGGGCGCTGCTAGCCCAGCCGTGGTCTAAGGCCACGTCCTGATAGGGATCCCAAGGCCAGCTGTCTCTGTTCCTGGCCTACTTGGAGGATTGGCCCATGTGTCTTCCAGGCCCATATGCTTGAAAGACCACTCCTGCTAGAGTCGCTGCTACCTGTCATCTCCACCCCTATTTAGGCCCAAAAGGGGACTTGCTCACCTTCCTTGGGACGATACTTCTGGCAGGCAGTGAGCCTTCCTGGCTGTGCTACCAGGGGTGTGGGCTGACTTGTCTACAGCTGGGGCACTGCTGATAAGGCAAGAAAAGGGGGAACCAGTACTGGGGCTGGGCAGATAATATTTCCCAATTTACAGGGGGAAACTGAGGCTCAGAAATTTAATGTCACCACCCAGGCCTCTGACAGCATCCAATGACAATCCGATGGGCTTTTCTGTCCAGTGCCCTTGGACAGAAAAGGCTGTAGGGAGGCTTCACCCCCATCCCAGGCTACTTTGAGTCTCCCCTGTTAATCTTACTAGTCTCTGACCACTTCCTAGGACCCTCAGAGGTCTAGGTGTGCCAGGGTGAAGGCCCTTGTGCTAGCCCTATCTGGCTCCTGCCACAGGGTTTCAGGTCAGGCCCCAGCAGCCCTGGAGTGGGGGTGTGTGGCCACAGCCACCCAATCCTGTAGGGCCAGGTTTCACAACTTCCCCGATGGGACTGTAGTGGGTCACAGTGCAGCCTCTTGCCAGGAGGATGGGGTGGTTCCCAATCCTGTTGCTTCTGACCCAGGTCTTAGTGGCCCCAGGTGAGTTCCCCCACCTCTAATCCTCACCTGCCTTTAGGAGGGGGTAGACCCTAGGCCCATGCTACTGTTTTTGTCAGGAGCTCACTTTCCCACTGGGCAGGGAGAAATGACCTTGGCCTCTTGAACAGAGCTGGGAAGACTTGGAACACACACAAAAAAAAACCACTGTCCACTCAGGCCTACGTTCACATGTCTGCTGTAGCATTAAAGCAGTGTTGGGACTACTCAGCTGAACATACATAGCAGGCAGTGACTCCTTTTGAGCCTGATCTACCCCCTAACCTAGCATATGCCTTCATGTTCATGAGAGCCCAGACTTGGAGTCAGAATGCCAGGTTGGGGCCCTCCCTGAGTAAAGTAATAGCTCTGAGTCTAAGTATTCTCATTTAAAGGATGAGTTGGGAGCGAGCGCACTCCACCGTCCCTCCAGCAGACGCTGCCTGGGGCTGGTCAGTTGTTGGGTGAGAATTGGGTAGGGCTGGTGAAGGGGTATCTTCTGTTGGAGGGGCATAAGAAAGAAGTACTGAAATGTCGTCACTTATCAGAAAGGTGATCAGCACCGTGAAAGCCCCAAGGGCCATTTGTCCCTACAGTTAAGCAGTGTTAGTGGACAAGACCATTTACATCTCTGGACAGATAGGCATGGATCCTTCCAGTGGACAGCTTGTACGTGGAGGGATAGCAGCAGAAACTAAACAAGCTCTCACAAACATGGGTGAAATTCTGAAAGTGGCAGACTGTGACTTCACTAATGTGGTCAAAGCAATTGTTTTGCTGACTGACACGAATGACTTCAATACTGTCAATGAAGTCCACAAACAGTATTTCAAGAGTAATTTTCCTGCTAGAGCTGCTTTCCAGGTTGCTGCTTTATCCAAAGGAGCATGCATTGAGATTGAAGCAGTGGCTGTCCAGGGACCTCTCACAACGGCAGGTTTATAAGTGGGCAGTGTTATTCTCATCATGTCTTTAAATTAACATTTTGATTCTTACAATTGATGTTGAAAGTATACATGTGACTAAAATATCTGTAGTTATCATGGATGAAAGGGAAGTGACCACAACACTCAGAGCAACCAAGAGATCTTTATTGCAGCAGTGCAACAGAGGAGAAGAGAAAGAGAGAGAGAGAGAGAGAGAGAGAGAGGGAGGAGAGCACGCGCGCAAAGGAGACAGAGCAAGAGAGAAGAGAGAGAGGGGCCCGGCAGGAGGGAGTTTTTATAGCCCAAATCTAATGAGGTCTCTGGGTCTGCAAGCTGCCTTGTTGGCACAAGGGGGGTTACATGTTCGGCCTTGAGCAGGGGGTTGAGTGTTCAGCCTTGAGTGGGGGCTTGGGTGTTTGGGCTTGAAGCAAATAGTTGATAAAGAACCAGACAGAGGGTTTGAGAGGCCAGGTCATCCTGCAGTTAACTTTGTTTGGCATGCCCTGCAGACAGCTTACTCAGCCTGTCCTGCACCTAACAATGGAAATACCATATTATACAGGGAGTTGACATGAATTGAATATTAGATAATGAATCCAAGTACTGATGCTACAAATTACACATGTGTGCACTCATTGCTGAATATGGGAGAAGGGACACTCATTACATAGTCACTCAAGTAAACTAAAGTACAGGGGAAAAATAACACAGGGTAGATGAGTTATTGTTCCTGAAAAATAATAAAGAGCAAGCCTAATTCAATTTCATTCTATTCAATTAAATGATATGAAATATTTAGTTCTCATGTTAGATATGTGATTCTGCTTTTACTTGTAAAATATTCACTCTTGAGTGGTAGAAGTAAAAGTGGACCAAAATTTTATGTAGACAATATTTTTCTAATGGAAATAAAATACATATGCAGATTTAAAAAAAAAAAGGATGAGTTGGTTAAACTTCACAGGGCAAGCACCATCACCCACAGTTCTCATGGAATATGTTAGATCTGAGCTGTACCTGGCCTGCTAGAGGTACTAGTGATGACAATTGGCATGTCTGGGCCTACTTCCCACACCCTATGCAGGGGGCACTGGACTGGCTCTTGAAAGTGCAAACAGAATTTATCCTTGTATCTGATCTTCTGAATGGACAAAATGTGGAACATGCCACTGACATGCATGACAACTTGTCCTGTGCCCACCCCACACACAGGACAGCGCTCACCACTGAATGACTTCCAGGTGCTTCGTGGCACAGAACTGCAGCACCTGCTACATGCAGTGATACCAGGGCCTTGGCAGGAGGATGTGGCAGATGCTGAAGAGTGTGCTAGGCTCTGTGGGCCCCTCCTGGACTGCCGGTGAGTGCCCATGTGGTCTAGATTTGGCTGGAGGTATGGGAACCTGGGCCTCTGAATAACCCTGTGCCTTCTCCTCCCCAGTGCCTTCCATTATAACATGAGTAGCAATGGTTGCCAACTCCTGCCGTGGACCCAGCACTCACCCCACATGCAGCTACAACGTTCTGGGTGCTGTGATCTCTTCCAGAAGAAAGGCAAGTGGGTGCAGGGAAGAGCAGGGCGAATATGAGGTCAGGGGCCTCAGACCCTCTTAACCTTTCATCTCTTGCTTCCAGACTATGTGCGGTCCTGCCTCATGGACAATGGGGTTGGGTACCGGGGCACTGTGGCAAAAACAGCAGGTGGCCTGCCCTGCCAAGCTTGGAGACACAGGTTCCCTAACGACCACAAGTGAGACTGATATTTCCCCTTTATCCCGGCCCGTAGACTTTCCGCAGCACACAATGTAGCAACGACTCTCTGCCTCCAGGTATACTCCCACACTCCGGAACGGCCTGGAAGAGAACTTCTGCCGCAATCCTGACGGGGACCCTGGAGGTCCCTGGTGCTACACGACAAACCCTGCAGTGCGCTTCCAAAGCTGCGGCATCAAGTCCTGCCAGGAGGGTAAGCAGCGCTCGGTCAAGCCTGGGGAGGGAGGAACAGGCCCACTCCTGTCCAGGAACGTACTGGCGCTGTGTCTCCAGCTGCTTGCATTTGGTGCAACGGCGAAGATTACCGCGGCGCGGTGGACCGTACAGAGTCGGGACGCGAGTGCCAGCGCTGGGACCTGCAGCACCCGCATTCGCATCCCTTCGAGCCTGGCAAGTACGTGTGGGTGCGCAGAATCTGCTCTCGGGGGGCGGGGCTAAGGGAAGGTCCAGACCTACAGGAGTGGGGCTGTAGGTCCTACCCTGACCGGAAGGGTCAGGGGAAAATGACCCTTCACTTTCATCAGATCCACCCCATCCCCAGACCTGGTACAGTATGAGAAGTGCGGACAGGCTGGATCAGCAGCAGGTTCAGCAAGAAGGAAATTGGGCAGGGGCAGAGTCCCAGGGTCTTCTTCATGCCCGCTACTACCCCCAGGTTTCCGGACCAAGGTCTGGATGACAACTATTGCAGAAATCCTGATGGATCTGAGCGACCCTGGTGCTACACTACAGACCCGCAGCTCGAGCGAGAATTCTGCGACCTCCTCCGTTGTGGTAGGCCACGGGGACTGAGCTTGGAAGGGCATCTGGGAAAAGTTGGGGGAAGAGCGTGACTTGGCTGGGGTGGGACAACCCAACGGGAAGTTAAGAGCAAATCCTGCTGAGTACTAAAGATCCATAAGAGGAAAAGCTCAGCCTCCGGTCAGGGTCCGATCTTCCCCGGTCCATCCAAGGATCCGAGGTACAACCAAGCCGCGAGGCCACAACATTCAGCTGCTTCCGCGGAAAGGGTGAGGGCTATCGGGGCACAGCCAATACTACCACTACGGGCGTGCCTTGCCAGCGTTGGGACGCTCAGAGCCCGCATCAGCACCGGTTTGCGCCGGAAAAATACGCTTGCAAGTGAGTGATCCTAGGGCGCTGGGGGGAGTATTCGGGCGGGAGGGGGCGGGACTTGAAGGAGTTTGGGGGGGGTGGTGCGGCTGGAGGCCCGGCCCCACAGCGGAGGCCGCTGTCTTCCAGGGACCTTCGGGAGAACTTCTGCCGAAACCCAGACGGCTCCGAGGCGCCCTGGTGCTTCACATCACGGCCTGGTATGCGCGTGGCTTTTTGCTACCAGATCCAGCGCTGTACTGACGACGTGCGGCCGGAGGGTAAGGCCCGAGCAGAAGGGATAGAAGCGCCAAGCTTGAGGGTCAGGGCGAGGACTGGAGCTGACCGCTGCTCTTGCCCGCCCATGGCAGATTGTTACCACGGCTCAGGCGAGCAGTACCGCGGCTCAGTCAGCAAGACCCGCAAGGGTGTCCAGTGCCAGCGCTGGTCTGCTGAGACACCGCACAAGCCTCAGTAAGTGCGCTTTAACCTTGGGCAATATGCTTTGGCTTCTTGGACCTGAGTCTGGAGAAAGCTTGAGACCACCCTGCCATGATTTTGTTCTGGCTTCCACCTAGATACACGCCCTCCTCAGTTCCTCAAGCTCAACTGAAGGAAAACTTCTGCCGGAATCCAGATGGGGATAGTCATGGGCCATGGTGCTACACCATTGACCCAGGGACTCCGTTTGACTACTGTGCCCTTCGACGCTGCAGTGAGTGTTGATAACTCTTCCCCATATACTGCCTCAGCCATCAACGTCAGACTGGTTCTCCCATAACCTGGATATACTTGGTCTTTCAGATGATGACCAGCCACTGTCCATCCTAGATCCCCCAGGTGAGGACTTGGGCAAGTAGTGGGTAGAGCCCCTTTGTCCCTCCACCTCTATCCAAGGGGGTTTCATCAGCCACCCCCATCCCCAGACCAGGTACAGTTTGAGAAATGCGGCAAGAGGGTGGACAGGCTGGATCAGCAGCGCTCCAGGCTCCGTGTGGTGGGGGGCCATCCTGGGAACTCACCCTGGACAGTCAGTTTGCGTAACCGGTGAGGCAAAAATGTCTGCCCCCCCCAGGAGAGGAGCTGAGGTTGTGTCCTGCGTTTATGCTAGTGGGGGATGGGAACCTGCTGCTGGTCTCAAATCCTACCCAGAAAATGGCAGGTCCAGTATGTGTCCCAGAATTCACTGTCTCTTCTCCTAATCCCAACTCTTGCAGGCAGGGCCAGCATTTCTGTGGAGGGTCCCTAGTAAAGGAACAGTGGGTACTGTCTGCCCGGCAATGCTTCTCATCCTGGTGAGCCTCTTGGGTTTGGGGAACTCAATCCCACTCTTGTCTTCCCTCTAGCCACCTTCCCCAGACAAGCCTAACAAGTGAGCCAGGAGGCAGCACACTGGCAATCAAGAGTGCTCTAGGGCTAGAGTTGTGGCTGCTGGCATGTGTGAGGCATGCATGTAATAAATTAGCCAGGTGTGGTGGTGCAGGCCCGTAATCCCAGCAGTGGGGGAAGCTGAGGCAGAAGGATTAGAGTTCAAAGCCAGACTCGGCAAAAGCAAGGGGCTAAGCAACTCAGTGAGACCCTGTCTCTTTAAAAAAAAAAAAAAACACACACACACACAAAATATAGGGCTGGGGATGTGCTCACTGGTGAATTGCCTCCTAGTTCAATCCCTGGAACCAAAATAAATAAATAATTAAATAAAAACTATCTAACAGAGCTTCTCTTCTAGCCATGAACCTCTCACGGGATATGAAGTGTGGTTGGGCACCCTGTTTCAGAACCCACAGCCAGGGGAGCCAGGCTTGCAGCAGATCCCAGTGGCCAAGATGGTGTGTGGGCCCTCAGGCTCCCAGCTTGTCCTGCTCAAGCTGGAGAGGTATGTGGACAAGTTCAGAGGGTGTAAGGTATAAGGGTTGGGCCTTGGGGCCTCAGGTGCTGCTACCCTTTTTTCTGCTAAAGACCGGTGATCCTGAACCAGCGTGTGGCCCTGATCTGCCTACCCCCTGAGCGGTATGTGGTGCCTCCAGGGACCAAGTGTGAGATTGCAGGCTGGGGTGAGACCAAAGGTAAGAACACAGTGCATAATCATGGACTGCTCCAGGCCAGAAGGTCCAGCTCTGGGCCCTGCCCAAGGGCCTCTCCTTCTCCCCATTCTCCTCACTGTAGGTACAAGTGATGACATGGTCCTAAATGTGGCCTTGCTGAAAGTCATCTCCAACCAGAAGTGTAATGTCAAGCATCGAGGACGTGTCCGAGAGCACGAGATGTGCACTGAGGGATTATTGGTCCCTATGGGGGCCTGTGAGGTCAGTGGCTAGGCTCCTGGGCCAGCCCAGGGAGGGTGTGAGGGGTTGGAGATGTATGATTTCAACCTCAAGAGGATAATCACTGCCATGGTCCAAGGCTCTCAACAGTTCCCTCCACCTGCCAGGGTGACTACGGTGGCCCACTTGCCTGCTTTACCCATGACTGCTGGGTCCTGGAGGGAATTATAATCCCCAACCGAGTGTGTGCCCGGCCCGGCTGGCCAGCCATCTTCATGCGTGTCTCTGTGTTTGTGGACTGGATTCACAAGGTCATACAGCTGGGCTAGGCCTGGTCTTAACCCCTTGCATTAGGGAGCACAAAATTTGTCAGACATAAAGCCACCTTTTCTCTTTACACCTGTGGAGAATGCCTCTTAGCTCTGCTTCTAGGGAATGAGTTTGTGACTCCTTATTAGGGCCTGGGTGGCTGGAGCCCAGCAACCATTGGCTAGGTGGTCTGACCCTGGAAGTACTTTTGCCTGTGGGTTCTGTGGAGGTGCAAGGTCTCATGCATCCTCCAGAGGTACTTTTGGGAGTAGAGGGTGGTGCAGAGCAGATTCTAACTGAAAAGACAATAGCTGAAGAAGCTAGCCTGGTGCTGAGTCCCATTTGGCTAAAACTGACAGGCGCAGAGCCTCTCACTTCCCTCTGCTTCTGTCATTGGAGACACATGAAGCCCTTGTAGCTATCACATTCAAGGCCGTAGGCCTCTGGACCCCAGGATTAGGGATGGGGATGGGGATGGGAATGGCGTGGTACAAAGTACCATCATTGAACCAGGATCTGTGTCCTTATTTATTATTACATAGCCCACATTCCCCCGCCACTCATTCAGAGTCCAGAGCCCAGGAGGCCCCTCACTGTTCTGTTAGATCTTGGAGCTCCCCAAGAACAAAGTATGACATTCCAGCTCACACAGAATGGCAGGGCTTCAGCTACCCAAGTGTGTGTGCAGCCACAGCACAGCATTCATGAAGCTGTCTGATTCCACCTCCACCTCTGATAGTGCATGGGTGCTTTTGGGATAGAGCAGGAGCCTGTAGGGGTAGGGCAGCAACATTTGAGGTTGGAGGGTCCTCCCCTGCTCACCTGCCCACCAGCTGCCAAGGACAGCCTGAGACACTCACCGAACGGGCACGTTCCGGGCCTTTAGGGCACGGTAATACTCCATGCCCTGCTTAAAGGGTACACGCCGGTCCTCCTGTCCCAGCATTAGTAACAGCGGGGTCTTTACCTGGGTGTGTGAGGAGCCAGGTGGGGGGCATTGGTGAACTGGCCCCTGGGTTCTGGGTGGATAGATGGCACACGGGACAAGGAAGAAAACTAGGTACCTGAGGGATATACTTGATGGGTGACTTGTCCAGCATCTCTGCCCACACACTGAGGTCTGGCAGGCAGTCATTGCTATAAAGGAAGCCAGCCTCCACCACACACCTGCAAGAAACCAATCTGATACAGCCCCAGGAATTCTGATTCCTACAGGGGCTCCACTGGAATGAAATACAGGGTGGAAGGGAGGAAGACAGAAACCTGTGTTACATACTCACCAGTCAGGGATGTCAGTGGAGCCCATCATGGAGGCTATATTGATCACAGGGTTCCGGGCCACGCAGGCACCATAGGTCTCAGGGTATTGACCAATCAAGTGGCACGACAAAAACCCACCATGGGAACCACCCATAAGGGCCACACGGCCTGCATCAAAGTGCTCCTCCTGGAGTACCTGCTCCACTGCAAACTACAAGGTGAGGCACAGCACACTGCAGCCAGCTGCCTGCCCAGTTGAATAGAGCCACACCCTGACAGCCCACCCTCCAGCCTGTCCAGAAGCCCCAGCCCTCTGCTACCTGGACATCCTTCACATCCTGGTAGCCCACATTGCCTGGGAGGGAAAGGATACTGTCCTGACCAAAGCCCGTGGAGCCACGATAGTTCACTGAAGGCAAGGGAGGGAGCAGATAGAGTTGTCAAACAACATTCTCATTTCCCTGGACAATATTTCACACATTTGTGAAGTAAGCCCTGGGACCAGAAGTACAACAGTCTGTCAAGGGGAAAGGGTCAAGAGGTTTGAGGCTGCTACCCAGTGACCACAGCATTCTTTCCATGGAAGTCCCAAAATCTACGTATCACCATAGAGGCTGGGCCAGAGCAGTTCCTGGTAATGGTTACTAGAGAAAGTAACCAGGCTACAGAAAAGCCAGGAGACTGGGGAGGCATCTTTGAGGCTTATACAAACCAGCCCCACCCCATTACTCCACCAAAGCCTTAGTAGAGTATAGGTCCCTCCTTGCTCACCTAATAGCACTGCAAAGCCCATCTTGCAAAGCATGGCTGGGAACAGCATCCAGGCAGTGACAAAGGATGAATGGGGTCCTCCTGTAAACAAGGAGTAGAAGATGAAAGGGCCAGCTAGGAGGGATGATAGGAGGGCAAGGGCTCTTATGCCAGATGCCTACCGTGGGGCATAACCACCATGGGCACCTGAGTCTTATCTGGAGTGTTGCTGGGCTGCAGAAGGATTGCTTCAAAGTCAAGGCCAGCTGCAGAGAGAAGGCAGCAGTCAGTAGGGCCAGTGCCACTTCCTAAGGCCTTCCCTATCCAAGCCATCTAAAACTATAGGTCTGAGGCGACCTGTGGCCAAGGTGGCCTACAGCATAGTATATAAACTTTTGAAGGTTTATGCTCCTTTTACCCTAATCAGGGAGCCCCACTCTGAGGCGATTGTGTTCTGTAGGAGGTATGATCACACAGGCCTTATATGAGGCCTGTTCTTTTTAGACCTTCGACAGGTCATTTGGCCTGGTGGTACCTAGTTCTGATACCCAGAGCAGAGGCTCAGATCCCTAGATATTTCTCCCCATGAACACAAAAAACACAGTAAACTTCTTAAAAGACATCTCAGGAAACTCTATAAGCCAGGAAGCAGAAAGGTACAGAGAAGATGCGATGTGTTGGAAGCCTGAAGAAAGTGTCCCTCTGCTCTTGGCCCAGCTCACCATACTGCACATTTTCTTGATCTGGGGGTGGCTGTAGCACCCGGATGCTCCAGTGGATGTCAGGAATGGGCTCAGCCTCCTCCAGGGCTACCCACAACACTGATTGCTCCTTCCCTGCAGGAGGCAGGAACCCAACTTTCTGCCAAGGGGAAGGAAAGTGTCACAGGTGGCTTGGCTACCTCCCTGCCCTTGTGCTTCTACCCAGGGTGGGAGGTGGGAAAATCTTATCAAGCTGGGCTTCACATATATCTCTAGAGGATACAGTATGGATTCTTGTGAGCTGGTGCATACCAAGGTATTCCTATTCACATTGAACCCCTCCTCATCCCCACCCTGCATACCTCCCTGGCTTCTAGGTTTTGATGTCTGTCTCCCTATAAAATCAGAGGACTAGGCATTTCCCCAGTTACCCTGTTTAGGACAGAGAAAGCCCCAGCCTGCAGTTCCTCCCGGTGAATGGCAAACCTTTGTGAACCATGCTGGACTGGGTCTGTGCTTCAGCCCTTCTACATGCTGATCAGCCATGGTCAGACTCTGGACCAGTTTCCTGGCCTGGGAAGCTCTGCCTACATTGAATCCCTGCCTGCCAGCCTGGACCCACCAACACTCACCAGGCTTGGAGGCAGGCTGGGTGTGGAGAACTGTACCACCATAAGGTCCCGGTCAATTGTAAGTAGCTTCCAGCTTCCACCTGACCCCCCTGGAGAAAAAAGATGTCACTAAGTGCATGGCAGGGACCACCTTTCCCATCTGCTCTCTGCAGAATCCCACTGGAGGTTCTAAGGAAAGGTGCCCCTTTCACCCTGAGAAGTATTTACCCAACTGCACATGACCCTGGGTGAGTCTCCTCCTCAGTCCCTTATTCATCTGGACACAGGCTGTGCCTAAGAAATGACAGACCCGGGGACACACCAGACCACCAAGGCCTTCAATGACTACAGTGTAAGGGAGCCCAGGAAGTTGGGTTGGGGACTGGGCTATGGGGTTCAAGCAAATGCTTAAGCAGGAACTATGTCATGAGATGTAGGTTTAGAATTAACACTTTCATAATTTTGTGGAGGAACAGGTAGAGTCAGGGCAGGTGTCTCAAAAGACATTTCAGGGACTGACACCGGGCCTGATTGTAGGGAAGATGGAAGTGCTAATACTAGATTTCTCCTGGGCCTGAAGGTGGCAGAGCTGCCTCTGCCTAGGACAGGGCACCCAAGGGCTAGGGAAGGGAAGGATGATTCTGGCAGATCTAGGCTAGAGAAAGTTCTGTGGGCTTTAGGAGCAGGGTAGGTAACATGTTGAGGCTAGGCCAGGACATAGTTGAGTACTGAAGGTCAGTGGAACAGGAAAGGGTTTTGCATGGATAGAATCTTCAGAGGACTACTGGAAAAGCCTGTAGAATAGTCAGTGGCTGAGAGTGCTGCTGCTACCACACATATACCTGTAGCTCCAGATGTCTAACCCTAATCCGGTTGGCTCACTCACCCTGCTCTTACCACTACACCAGAACCCCTGCTCACCAGCTGTTAAGGAGGTCACATTGCCCATCTGAGTGTCCACAGCAAATAGGTCCTGAGGCAGAGAGAAGACCACATGGGCACCACATCCAAGAGCCCTGAGGGCCCAGGTTCAAATCTCAGTTCCATCATAACTGAGTATCCCTGGGCAAGGTAAGAGATATTACTGGGTTCTTTTTTTGGTAATGGGGATTAAACCCAGGGACACTTAACCACTGAGCCACATCCCTAGCCATTTTTTTTATATTTTACTTAGAGACAGGGTCTTGCTGAGTTGCTCAGGACCTCACTAAGTTGCTGAGGCTGGCTTTGAACTCGTGATCCTTCTACCTCAGCCTCCCAAGCTGCTGGGATTATAGGAAAGCACCGCTGCACCTGGTCACTGGATCCTTTTGAGTTAGCACGAGACCAAATGATATTACACCCAAAAGGAGACTGGTATACTATAGACATCTTCATCCCATCCCTAGGGTAAGGGTTTGGTCTTATCTCCATTAGCTGCCTTTAAATGAATATCCTGGACCCACCCAGTGGCAGCCCCTTTCTCCCCCAGCTGGGAGAGAATGTACCTCTGCCTCAGGCAAAAAGGTCAAAAGTTCTGCTGTGGGGCTCCAGGGCAGTTGATCCCCTCAAGGAGAATCAAGTGCAAGACAGGACAGGCAGGACTTTTTCAAAGGGCAGGTGAGACACTAGGACTGGGCATTCCCCAAAGGCATGTACATGCTATGCCTCAGGGCCCAGATTCCTGGCAGTTGATCATAGGGTCTGTTACCTGTCGGCTGCGTTGAGCTGAATCAAAGATCACTCTCCGGCTGTCAGCTGACCAGCATCCTAGAGGCAGAAGGCTGCA